TTGTTAAAAAGTTTTTGTCAATATCCCGGAGTTGAAGAATATAGATGTGAAAAAGAATTGAATTGGCTTTGGGTTTTGCATCTGATAGCTTTTTAAAAAAACTCGGATTTCCTCAAAGAACCAGTTCCTTTTTGTTCGAAAAGAGCAATCATAAATTGTTTTCAAATTTCAATGTTTTTAAGTTCAAATTTCGATGAGAAAACCTTCTAATTTGCTCGGAAGGTCGGCTGGATGGTTTTTTGCGATTGAAAATTCAAATCCCTTTCTTTTTAATGAATCCCGCACCTGTTACCGCAAAACCACAAACACTCTTTTGAGAAATGGATTTCAAATCGAAAAAAAAAGGAATAGGGAAAGGTTTTCGAGATTTTATCATTGCTAAATCTGGATGACCGGGTGATGGTTAGATTCCACCATATGGTGTTGAAAAAAATGGGGATCAATGGGAATTTTGGGGATCAACGAATGGTAAGGAGTGAAAATCGAAGACAATCTTAGAAAAACAGGTTCAAGTATTTGTATTAATATTTTTTTTCTTTCAAGTATATGATTTTTTTCTGAGACTTTTGTAAACAAAAATTTGGTTTGATTGAATTTAGAAACAGCTTTGAATTTCAGACCAAAGGAGAGAGAATTTTAAGTGTTCTGAACTAAACTGTGCTTTAAGCTTTAAACTTTAAGTCTCCAGAACTAATTCGTTTTTTAAAACGTGCTAGAAAACGTTTTAACTACTAGAAAACTAGAAAACTAGAAAACTAGAAAACTAGAAAACTAGAAAGCTAGAAAACTAGAAAACTAGAAAACTAGAAAACTAGAAAACTTTAAGTGCTCAGAACGAAACTGTGCTTCTCTTCATCAATTCGTTTTCTAAAACGTGCTAGAAAACTATTGTAATCTTGCTTTGAAAGGCAAGATTATGTTAGTTGAGAAAGTTGACACTTTTTTTAGGGAAATGGTTACTCGATAGGATGAACAAGTGAAATGGGTCAAGGAAAATGAACTAGAACCAAATTTTTCTCATTGTCACTCATGTTTTAATCGTTTTAATCTTATTTTGCAGAAAAATAATTGACTTTCTAATGAAAGAAAAAATAATTGACTTTGTTTTAAACGAAAACGAAGAAAAGAAATGAAAAGACTTTCTGGACAGTTTAATAGTTTAATAAAATAGTAACTGATAACAGATCTAATATGGTACTGGATTCTAAAAGATGCACTAGATCACAAATGAATCGATTCTGTACTTGAAGTCATCTATCATCAATATAAAAACTTTAAGCTTTAAGCTGACCTTATTAAACCTAGCAACTTCACACCCTATCATTTCCTAAAGCTTCCTAAAGCTATTTCAATTTTTCAAACTCTATCCATCCATTTTCCGAGAACAGTTACAGTAGTATGACTTTGATCGACGAGCAATTCAAAAAAGTCTTAAAGAGGAAAAGAGAAATGGAAACTTTTAGACAGAGAGTAATGAAGATAGTGATCTCGACTATTCATTTCACCAAAAACATTTCATTCCATTCCGCTCATTCACACCTTTTTCGGCTAGTGAAAAAGAGACTAAACCGTTCCGAAAAAAAAGCAAGTTTCCCAGGTGTGTTCAATGAAAAAGGATTGGAATTTTAAAGGGTTTTTTTTATTAGCTATATGTCTAGGAGAAATCAAAAACCGACTTGAGAATGGAAATTGGGTTTTGAAAGCTATAAGAGATTTGAAAGCTATAAGAGATTTGAAAGCTATAAGAGATTTGAAAGCTATAAGAGATTTGAAAGCTATAAGAGATTTGAAAGCTATAAGAGATTTGAAAGCTATAAGAGATTTGAAAGCTATAAGAAATCTAAAAGCTATAATAAATCTTGTTATATTTTTCAAAATCATTAGAAACAGAGAATCCGTGTAAATACTTAAAAGCAAAAGGTTTTAAAAAGCCTCTTATCTGGGTTTTCAATTTCTGAAAATTGCACTAGAATTGCTTGTTGCTAGAATTGCTAGAATTGCAAAGTTGCTTGTTGCTTGTGAGAAAAATGCTTTTTGAATGCTTTAAAAGATTTTGACGTAAAAATTTCGAAAGTCAATTTTAAGATTAACTCTAGTTTATTCCAATCTCCTAAAACTAGTGATTTAAGTCGGAAAAAAATTCTTTTATCTGGATTATCTATGAGCTTTAGCTAACAACTTTGTGAATTGATAGTGAGATATCGTGTGAGGATATAACAGGCATATTATAATAGGAAACCTCCAATCTATTCACTTTTTGTTTGCCTCTTTTGGCTCCTTTGTAAATCCTCACAGAAGCAGTCCAAGCATCGATATGTTGAATGTCAAGACTGAAAAAAGAAAAACTGAGACAAGCTTACGATAGTTAAGAAAGGTGAAAAGTTTTAGAAAACGAACAACGAGAACAAAACGAACAAAGAGAACACAATCTGGCTAAATTTACCTTTATAGTCCGAGCTCAAATATGAATGAAACCTATATTATTTTACTTCCGAAACCCCATTGTTCAACTGAGTGTAGTGGTCAAATCATGTGTTATTCCACGTGGAATTCAATGCCGATTCCGAATCTGTTTTCTTTGAAATGAAAAACTAGAAAACTAGAAAACTAGAAAACTTTAAGTGTTCAGAACTAAACTGTGCTTCTCTCCAACAATTCGTTTTCCATTGTTCAACTGGGTGTAGTGGTCAAATCATGTGTTATTCTACGTGGAATTCAATGCCGATTCCGAATCTGTTTTCTTTTTCTGCTCTGGAGCACTCTGTCAAGAGTTATAAGTGTGCAAAGTTTTTGATGGGATTTCATTTGACATTGATGACAAAACAATAAAAGAGAGAAACATAGTTTGACTACAGTTAAGACAGTTACGAAAAAAGTTACGACAAAAGACGCATAATTTGTATTCTCACAAGGCAAAACATCAAATTTGAACAAGCATCGTTTGGAGTATCGAATTGAAAGTGTCATTGTTTCTTGGTCGAAATCTTGTTTTTCTTTGGATTCAATGATAACTGTTTGATGTTAATAGTTAAAAGTAAGCATTCTTATGAAAAGTAGTTTAAAATAAACTTGTATTTGAAACGGAGAAAAATTAACTTTGAAAATCGAAAAAAGCAAACGAAAGAAGTACAAGGCCGGACTCGACCTAGAGAATGTTTGCCTTGTATTCACAACTTGTTCACCACTGCTGTTTACGGTCTCTAGGAAATCTGTTTATAAACTCTGCTGATTTTTGAAATCGCATACAAAACTTTTTTTGTGGATGTATAACCGACAGGTACCAAATTTTTTTCTATGATTTTAAAAATATCAACTTTTGACTTTTCAGAAAAAGCTGATTTTAAAAAAATTTGTTAGACGGATTTCAAAATCGTTATAACTTTTGGAATCAGTAAAAAATTCAGCGTCGAATTGTATATATTAGGCGTTGGGACAAATTCAACCTTTTTTTGCGCACCTGGACATTTGCGCACCTTTATTTCGATGGAAAAGGCCTTAGGAAAGACCGTAGAGCTTCAAAAATGTTTTCATATAAGAGGATCGTATGCGTAGATCCCGGTTTCGACAAATCAGACCTCGCTGACACGTCAAATTTGGGCTAAAAGGCAAAAACTACGCAACTTAACGCTTTTCCGCAGTTTTTGCCTTTTAGCCCAAATTTGACGTGTCAGCGAGGTCTGATTTGTCGAAATTCGGAAGCTACACATACAATTCCCTTATGTGAAAACATTTTTGAAGTTCTACAGCCTTTTCCAAGGCTTCCAGCAAAAAAAAGGTGCGCAAATGTTCAGGTGCGCAAAAAAAAGGTCGAATTTGTCTCATCCCCATATATTAAAAGAAATTTTATCAGAAAACACATTTTTACCTTGTTTGCGCGGATGTGCATCCGGATCAGGTTTACAGGCCGAAAATTGAATATCTTTTAATTTTCAAAGAAAAAGTCAACAAATGGGGCAGCTACGTTTTTGCGCTTTTTCCGTAGCTGCCCCATTCGTTGGGTTTTGCTTTGAAAATCGAAAGATTAGATTTTCCGTTTTTTTTCCGCTTCGAAGCCTGATCCGGATATTGTATAAGAACCGCGAACCGGCTCCGTTTATTGTTATTCAAGTCTATATTCAAATTTTTGAATAAAATATATGCACTTTTGGGAGAAAATTGTAAAGGTATTGAGTATTGTGTTGAGTATTTATTGAGTAAAGTGTTGAGGTTTGTAATCCGACCGACACTTTATAGCATTTATTTTTCTTAAAATGTTTATCCGGCAAAAAGTTTTACCTTTTTTGGACTCAGCGAGCTTTCGGAAGTAAAATAATTGATTTGATAGAATTGATTTGATAGAACTCATTTGATAGAATTTAGGGTTCGCATCATAAAGGTAAATTTAGCTCACAATCTAATCATGTCTTGTCCAGAGTTTCTAGAATATTTGGAAGGAAATGTTGTCAAGTATCGTTTATCAAATCTAGTTTTATAAGTACCAAGTTAGTATCAGTACAATTCCTATAATCAACTTTCACTTGATTATGTTAGCTTATAGTTATCTTTTTTTCCTCATCAAGATCGTCTTGAAGCTTTAAATTTTCGTTATTGATGCCTTTTACAATATTATAACCCAATTCAAACCTTGTTCAGTAAACTTTTTGAAAATTCAAACAACTCCCATCTGATCAATTACCTACAAAGAAAACTTAGAAAACTTGTCGCAAGGGTGTCGAAAATGTTAGTGAAAAGCAATGAAAAATGGGTCTGTGTTCTTTAGCTGAATAAGATACAATCTTTCGAGTGAGATTGCCTCAATTTCCCTTCGATTTCCTTTATGAACTGCGCGTGCCGAACATCACCGTTTTTGGAAGAAAAAGATTGATTGAGGTCAATGTTTTTGAGGGGTATTTTGAAAAGTTCACTTTTTGTGTTGCAAAAACTTTCAAATTTAATGTGAAAATTGTTTCTTCGACTATTCACAAGATAATTTTTTGAGATCTAAATTTCAAAATTTGTTAATATTTCCCTTCTTGAACGGCTTTCGGGATGGGAGCGCCGAAGAAAAGCTCGAAAAGCTCGAAGATTTTGTCGGAGATCGCTGCTGGTAGAATGGAGATCGGCAAGAAGCTGAAATTTGGGAGGAAATGTTGTCAAGTATTGTTTATTCAATCTAGTTTTATAAGTACCAAGTTAGTATTAGTGCAACTCCTATAATCAACTTTCACTTGACTATAGGAGTTTCTCTAAACTCTAACACTCTAAACTTACAAGAATATGTGATCCCATCCGATTTGGTATCGCTTTCGGGGGAAACGAGCGGTGATCGCGTGAAAGTACGTGTCGATGACCCACTTAAATGGGTTCATTGCTTAAAAAGTCGTTGATCTTTGAGTTGATCTTTGTACCTGAACATTCGATGAAGCGACCATGGCCACCATTCGATTTGTCACTTCACTACCTGAATTTAGAGTAATCTAGCATCAGTAATTTAGAGTAATCTGGCATCAGTAATTTAGAGTAATCTGGTATCAGTAATTTAGAGTAATCTGGTATCAGTAATTTAGAGTAATCTGGTATCAGTAATTTAGAGTAATCTGGCATCAGTAATTTAGAGTAATCTGGCATTAGTAATTTAGAGTAATCTGGCATTAGTAATTTAGAGTAATAAAGTTTACAATCTGGTACCTTTCTCGAAAAACTCTCGTCCATACTCTTGTCGAGTTTCTTCTGAGCAACGGTCCCAAACCTGTAAAATCGATTTTGAAACAAGAGATAAATTTTGATAACATATTATTTTGCTAAAGTTTTTGTACCCTTTGTAGTTGAGCTTTGATAGCATCTTCGGCGATAAGTGGAGTTTTGAAGAAACCCGGCTCAAGCACGTGAACCGTGATTCCCCAGGGTCGGAGCTCTTGACTGAAAGGTCATCCGGTTCTTGATAACATTTTTGGCATGTAGTACGGTTGATACACTACATATAGCAATATTCAATGTTAGTTCATTTTTCAGATCAATTCCTAACTCTACATCTGCCCGGCATTGAGATATGGTGGAAACTTTGAGATTTGAGTGACCTTTGCTAATAGAATATTAATAGAAAATACTAATAGTATCCACTTACAAGCTCTGAATCAATTACCGTATGACATCACTATACGCAGACACGCCATGTTTAGCAATAGTGTACGGACCAATGCCGGGAAGGCCCAAACGGGCACACATTGATGCCATATTCACGATTCGGCCCCTAAACAAATATGTAAGAAATAGGCTCTGATCTGATTCTCTGATAGGCTTAACTATAGCCAGTTATTTCTTTGTTTCGAGCTATCCTTGCTCTCTCAAATGTATAGAAAAACTGAATCTTTATGTCAACTTGCCGACGAGGCATCCAATCAGGCAACTTTTACACTTATCAAACGAGCAAGAGGCAAAGAGGAAACAAACTTTGCGACAATTGTGTAGTTTTAACTTACAACTATTGAAAAGAAGATCAGAAACAACAAATTTAGGTGGATTTTGAGTCGATAGTCGTCTACAACTACTGAACTGAGATCATGTACTGCATATGATCCCATTTACTAGCACATTTACTGTACTGGTACATGTTCCCAGTACAGTAGTTTTACAGTAGTTGTCCCAGTACATGTCCCAGTACAGTAGTTGGACTGGGACATGATAAAAACTGACTAGTGAGAGCAAAATCTCCGTGCTAACCTTGTTTTCCGCAAAAGTGGTGAGAAAGCTTTCGTCACTCGGACAACTCCAAAAAGATTCACCTAAAGTCGTGACTCTAATAAAGTTGTAGAAGTAGTAAAAGGAATCCAAATCAATTCAAAATAAAATCCTTCCAATCAATCAACTAACACTGAGAACTTAGAAACTTGATACTCACTTCCATCGTCTCTCGATAGTCGTCCATTGAAAGAAAATCATCGTAAAACGATTGCCCGACAATGCCCGCATTGTTCACAATTGCGTGTAAACCTAATTGTATTTTCATTCTTGTTCTCGATCTTGATCACCTCCAAATTGATTTGCTTCTTTTTCTACCAATCTCCTTGCATCGTCAACACTTTTATCATCAGTGACATCGATAAGGAAAGCTTTCAATTTCCCTCGGTAGAGACCAGCCTCGGTGAGCAACTTTTTCTTACCCTAGAATCAAGAATTTTTTTGGAATTTGGCTGTATCATTCTAAAAAACAGAACAGTGGAATCCGATCACTTCCGGTGGAAATGATTAATTTTTGATTCCTTTTTTATATACTCACTTCCTCAGTTCGACATCCGGCGTAGACGGGCAACCCGTTGGCGATACATTTGATCGCCAAACCATATCCGAATCCTGAATGCTTGCAATAAGTTCCTTAAACAGTTTAAGTTTATAGATTAGATAAGTTATAGATTAGATAAGTCCTTTATGCAATAACTCACTTGAACACTTGATATTTTTGATTGCTTTTACTTGTTTAATAATAAATTAATATTTATTTAATAATAAACAGTACCGGTAAACCCCTTAAACTCAAGAATTTTGGTGTGCCAGATGATAAAAGTTTACAAGTTTCTTGAACTCTTTTGATTTCTTTCTTAAAAGTGATGCCAGTTGATTTATAGTTGACTTTTTGTGATGTCAAAACTAACCCGAATCGCAGCCAGTGATAAAAATCGGTTTCCTATGCAAATCGCCGATCTCGAAGCGCTCCCAATTTTTTCGCAACAATAAAAACACAGCAAAAACAACGAGTGAGTAGAGGACGAATGTCAGTAAATCCATTGAAACTAAGAATAAAACTTTCAAACACAAGTGAAAACATTTTCTTCTTGCTTACAAGATGTGCAAATGTTTGTTTGCAGAAAGCATTTTGTGAACTGAAATAAGAAAAGTTCAGTTGAACAAAAGATAATAAAAGGGTAAAAGTAAAATCGAATGTAAAATCCATTCAAGCATCTAAAATCGATTCAAAAATGCTTTCTTGAGGCTCTAACGGGTTTCACAAAAGTTATTGAAAGAGGGGTAAATTTTTCTCGGACAAAATTTGCATAATCCGCAATCTTTCATGGGGAGATCACCGCTGACAAGTCAAGAGAAGATCTTTCAAGGCTACAATAAAGTTGAGAAGCTGAGAAAATTTGGGTATATTCTAATTGTAAGCAGTTTAACAGTTTTTCCCGAAAAAGCAAATTTTGCAAAACGCTCAGAACTCCGCGAGAATTGTTGACCAACTGATAAGCCACTTTGTAGTCTTGCGCCTTTGTTTTTCCGAAGAGCAACCTCACAAGTGAAGTCTAGCATCGATGAAGTGGGAAAGTGAAAATCTGGAAATGTTTAACCCTAGAATTCTTTTTACATTTGAGTTTCGCAGGAACAGATCCAATAATATTCCAAAAGTAACAAAAGTTCCTAGTTTTCCTAGATAGCCTGAGAGTTTCAAATAAACTCGCTTTTGGATTAAGTTTGCATACTAGAAAAGAACTAAGATAGGAAAAGTCCTGATTCCTGACACAGGAAGACGTCTTTGTTCTTTTCAAAAATGAGCTCACCAATGAATTTTGGAGTTGATGAAGTAGGAAGCACGGGAGTTCAATCATTCTTATTGATAGCGTTCCTGCTATCCTGAAACGATTGATGCTTTTGAGATAAATCTAGGAACTTTTGCGATTTAAAATGTAAAATCTGACGTGCTCATCCACAGATTACGGCTCTGGTAAAAATTTCTTTGCGAAGCCAGAAATTTTCACAAATCAAAAAGAAGCGTCAAACGTCAGTTTTGCTCAAAATATTTAAATATTGGACCATTTAAAGCTATTCAGTTAACAACTTCGACACCTATCTCTGGAAAAATTGAACTATAGATTGGCACTTTTGAAAAAATTCATTTTTCGTTGCGGTTGTGATTTTCGGGAGCTGGTCAAAATAGCGCCGACTAAAATAATGCGTTTGCGGTTAAGTTTATTGGTGTTTCTTATTTTCATTTGATCTAGAAAAAAATTAGCTATATGCTGAATCTTTTGGAGCCGTTTAGAAAAAATCTGGAATGAAAAAAAAGCAAAAAATACGAAAAATGGCCCAAAAAGAGGTTAGCTAAGCTTTTCTCGACACCAATTCTGTTTTAAGTGATCCCAAAGTATGCAAAATGTAGATAATTTTTTTCTGCATCCAATAAGAATAAGAAACACATAGAAACTTAACCGCGGAGAAAATATTTTTGCTGTGGCGCTGTTTGTACACGGCGCTCTTTTTGGACCAGCTCCCCGATTTTCTCAATTGTTTTTTCCTTTTGGACTATTGCAATAGCTTAGCTACGATTTGCAGCAACACTGCTCCTTAAATCTTGTGAAGATTTGCAAATCGCCATAATAAGGCTCATTTTCAACTGTAAAATCGTGAACTTTCGTGGTAAAATGTACACTTTTTTGTTAGTATTTGCAAAAACTTAATTTAATCCTTTCTCGAATTGTAATGCTGACTTAATTGATGTTTGTTTTACTGACGCGTGTTATTATTTATGTTTTCGACAACACTTATTTTAGTCTTGAGCATGGAGGAGTCGCGCGGCAAATTGATTGACGTGCATGGGCGGAAGACCCTGGTCGTTGAAAGCATTTGGGATCAAGAGTTGCAGAATCAAATTACCGAACAGGCCACTGTTGTATTCGAGGTGTGTCTTACGGCTTTTGTTAGAATATTATGGGTTTTTTTAGGAGAATAACGCCAAGAAGCTTTCTTTGGAATCTGAAGCAGCCAAGAGATTCAAATCGTCACTCGAAACGAACAAAGCTGCGAACAAACACGTCGAGGAGTTACATAAAACGTATTTCATTTTGAACTTTTTTGGTTTTAATTATATTTTTACAGAATTGTTGCTCTAAATGAACAAGCCACGCTAATTGCGAAGAAAGGCAAAGAGACTGAGAAATCGTTCAACAATTTGGAAGAAAAACTTAGGAATGGGACCTCAAAAGTTAACGCCGGCTTTCTTGAAGTTCAAAAGATAAGAGAAATTGTAATGCAAGCTCAAGAGCCAATTCGATTTGAAGGACAACGAGGTGCATTCATTTTGATTTATTCATTTTATTCAATTTTAGAAATTTCTGAGTTGGAAGCACATATTGCTAAAGTTCGTGAGTGCATCGCCGTGATGGCAAAAGTAGATATTCAACAATTCCAAACGGAGCTAGCTGAACAAAGCCGCCGGGATAACGAAGTCACGTTGTTGTGCACGCATAAAAAGAATGAAATTCAAATGTTCTACTCACGAAAAGGTTAGTAACGCTTAAGGCGTTAGAGTAGTTGGGGAACTTTACCCAAAATCAATATTTTTCCACGAAAACTTGAACACAGAGGTTTTTGACTATGCTGAATCGATTAGTAATACTTCTATAACTTTTTTTATTAATTTTATTAATTAATAACGTTTTTAGTAAAAACTCGAATGCGGGCAATTTGCCGAAAAACAGGTCCCCTAACCTGTTAGGGAGTTCTTTTATACGCAACACCAAACAACAGTTTTGTTATTGTTGTTTCTTGTTATTGGATATTGCTAAAATAAAACATAAAATTAATAAAAAATATTTATAAAAGTATTACTAATCGATTCAGCAAAGTCAAAAACCTCTGTGGAAGTTTTCGTGGAAAATATTGATTTTGGGTCAAGTTTCAGACTGCCCCCCCCCCTAACTATAGCCCCACGCTTAATAATTTAATTCACTACTACTTTAGCTCACGCAAACAATTCTTTGGAGGAAGTTCTTGGTGCTTTGGGCGGTTTGGAGAAGTTGCTTTCAGAGCATGAAAGATCAAATGGTACAAAAAGGTATTTACGGTTCTTCCTTGCTTTTACAGTTAACTTTAGTGAACAAATTGCCGAGCTTCAACACCGGAAGAAAGATCTTGGGACAGCACATGGAGAAGTTACAACGGAAGAAAATGTTTTTACCGACTTTGAAGATCTTATTGCTAAGCCAACCTTTCTTCATGCTGAGATTTCCAAAGAAACGGCCACGCTGGACGAAAGTGTTTTTGAGGTTAATAAAAAAGTTTATAGTTTAACTTGTTTTTAGATTGAACGTGTTAAAGAAGATAATCAGAAAACGGGCGAGCTGATTGAGAGGACAAGATTGAAATCGAAGGAACACTGGGAGAGCATGATGGTATTAGTTGAGCTTTTGAGCACATAAAACAAATGTTTCAGCAAGCCTTTGATGAGTTGCTCAAGAAAATCGAGAATGACGCTCTTGCCATACAGGCGAATTGGGATGCTGGTCAATTATTGGTTTGTTTCTTTATAAATTCTTGAATGTACGTTTTCTATATTTAGTATGACAAGGAACGGTGCAAAAGTCAACTGTTAATTCGTCTACAAGATGTTGAAAAAAATCAGCACCAACACCAAGTAATTCTATTCAACAAAACGACAGTAAATCTGCTCCTAGCTTACAAATCAAGATTTGGATGGTGACATTGATCAAGACAGAAGCACTTTAGTTGAATGTCAGCGCGAAATTCAAGTATTGTTTTGATTATTAAGTTTTAATTGGTCTTAATTTAGACACTAGCCACTGATGCCTACAGAAACCTGCCAGAGTCGGAGAAGATCCGTTATGACTTGAAAGCGATTGAGAGCCAAACTGAGAAGATTGGACACGAGATTTCGGCATTCAATGAACAAATTCGCGCTATTGAAGAGCAGCGCTTGTCGATTGAAAAAAACATTGAAAGGAAACAAAATGAGGTTTGATTTTGACTTGTCGAGATGTTATTCATATTTAGTGTGCTTCAAAGATTGATGATAAAGAAAAGGAATTAGCTGCTTTGATTGCTGCAAACAACAAAAAGAAGCAAAAGGTTCGCAACCTTGTTTAAGTTTTTATTTTCTTTTAGATTATCATGGAATCTGAAAAACACCAAGTATCTATTCAAACAGCCGAGAAAGATGTTCAATCAAAGCTTGTAGAAGACGATCGAAAGGTGCCGGGTGGCAAAAGTTTGGCTGCACGGCTCGAAAAGGCGAACGCTTTCATGAAAAAGGGCGAGAAAATTGTAAAAATTAATGAAGAGCCAGCAATCATGTTAAGGTGACTTTTATTATAAGTTTTAATTTTAATGTTTAGTATTAGCAAGCCGAACAACGAACAAATGCCGGAACAATTGGCGTCTCAAAAAAGGAACTATGCCTTCGACAGCAGTGATGATTCAGATGTAATTTGAACCAAACTTTGTTTTATTCACCTTTTTAGGCGACTATCGAAACGGAAGCGGGCGAAATGTTTGATCTTTCTTTCAATGAACCAGCACGTTCCAAAAAAGTAAGTTGTTCTTTGACTATATGAAGAAATGGAATCATGACTTAGGTTGCCATAGGTGATATCGCTCCGGAGATAGCTCGCGAATCGTTGTTCAACAAAGTCGAGCAAACTGGATTGACAAAAAGGACCTCAAAACCCAAACCCCAAGCAAAAAGGAAGCGCTATGATTCGGATTGTAAGCGCCATTCAATCATTTAATGAACTTAAACTTTAGCAACAATGATGACCGACGATGAAAGTTTTCAAAATTCATTTTTTGGATCAAATGTTACGCGCCCCTCTTCAATCTATCCGAAGGCCATCAACAAAGTTACCTCATCACCACGCCCAGAGCGTATGAGGGTAAATTTTTGTCTCAATATCTTAATACAGTTTGTACTTTTTAGAAACCGGTTACTTACGCTTTTCACAGTGATAACTCTATGTCAACTACTATGAACGATGATCCTGAAATTTTCCTTAACTTCGACAAAGCTGTGACTAGTACCCCGAAGGCGATCAAGTTTTTTTGATAAGTGTATTATTTAAATACTTTTTTAGGAGAAACTCAACTCTCAAAGGTGGAAACCGAGCGACTCGTGCCAGTGCTGTTAACAAACGAGGTCGAGCTGTAACACGAGGCCGAGGCCGTGGCAAATAAGAATTGTTATTATCTGTGCCATCTTTGTTTAAATGTGTGTTGAAATTACTGTTATGTTTGTGTTAAATTAACCTTTTACCCATTTGTTTGGAAATAAAGTTCTTAAAGTTATTTGAAATCTTTGACAAGAAATCTGTGGGAGCAGTTACGATATATAATGATCTCATAAAACTACAGTTTTATTGTTCCCTGCCGTACTTAAAAAATGAAATAATCGAATCACTTTACACGTTTTGCGAGCGTTGCTTTTTTTTGTCTTATCTAAAATCTGCACTTTTTTTTTCTTATTTCGGCACTTTTCCTGGCTCTTTGCGCAATTTGCTCGCCTCTTCCACGCTCTCTCACCTCGCATCATTTATTTACAAACTACACTATCCTAGGCCGAATTGAAAGTAAATAACCCACTCGCACGAAAACAATTTTTTAAAGTCATTGATTTATTTTCATTCAGAGTAGCAACCTTTTGAAAAATGTTTATCTACGCTGTTTCTCAGTCTCTTCGAAACTTTTTCCAGGTTACTTTGTGCCATGTATTGGAGCATGATTTCACTAATCTTCTTTTTGTATTTATTCAGTAAACAAAATTTTCAAAATCAAAATCTAACTTTAGCCTCAAGCCCGACAAGAAATGTCAAACCGAGCCGTAGCCGTTTTGCGTGGTGATGCAGGAGTGCAAGGAACTGTTTGGTTCCGCCAGGTCTGTTGATTGCATTTATATTTGTTTTATCTTTTAGTTTAGGACAAGGAGAGCGATCCAACAGTTATCACCGGTGAAATTACTGGACTCACACCTGGCAAGCATGGATTCCATGTGCATCAGTGGGTTAAACTTTTGACAATCATATATGTTATGTTTTGGCTGCCTAGTGTATTTATTTTCTATCTTTTAGGTTTGGAGATTCGACAAATGGCTGCATCTCAGCAGGCCCCCACTTCAATCCTTGTAAGCACAAGCTTTTATTATTTATATTATTGATTGAACATTTACAGATTCGAAGACCCACGGTGGCCCCACGGTTTGGAAGTTTTTTTAATTCAGTAGTTGATGATTTTTAGGATGAGAATCGCCATGTTGGAGATCTCGGAAACGTAGAAGCCGGAGAGAATGGTGTTGCCAAGTTTGAGATCAAGGACTCGCTTGTCAAGGTAAGCAGATCGACGGTCAAAAATTTCATCAAAGAACCTTAGCTTCATGGCGAGAACACTGTCATTGGAAGATCGCTTGTTATTCACGCTGGCACTGATGACCTTGGTAAAGATTACTTTTCTTTGAAAGCTGAACTTTTTTCTTTAGGAAAAGGTGATGGGGATAAGCGAGAGGAATCTCTAAAGACGGGTAACGCTGGAGCTCGTTCAGCTTGCGGTATGAATTTAGTTAGATTTGTAGTGAATATGTTTTTTCCAGGAGTAATTGCTCGTGCCGCTCCCGCCGACCAGTGACTAGGTATTTAATGGCTTTATCAGCTTATGTTTTACTTTTTGTTTTCAGGCATGGAATTACCATCTTCCATCGCCGTGGAAAAACATCGTCTTTAAATTGATTACTTGTGCATCTTGTTGCCTAGTTAGTTCCGTTGTGATTTTTAAACTGGTCTTTTTGTTTGTTCCAAATTTTTTTTATCTAGTTCGTCAATAAACCATGTTTTTATACGCTTTTTTACAAATGCATGTCGAGACTCAAATGTATTTTGATAAAGAACACGACTTACAACTATCGTAGAGAAGAGGTGCAACGTGATATTAATTCTTCAAGCAGTTTGAAAAACAGGTTTGCGGGCAATGCGATGTCTTCGAAGCGTGGACCCGGATCAAGGGCTCCTCAGCGGGATTCCTCACATTCGCCTCGAACTAGCTCTTCGGCAGTGACAGGCTCCGGAAGCACGCAAACGACTCCAGGCCCGGTGGATTCAACTTTATCTGCTTGTGAGATTGTAGGTTATATCTAGACAATGTGCCTTTCATTTTCAGCAAGCGAGACTTTAGTGGCTTCTTCTTTGGAGCGAACACAAAATGCGGTAAATCATTTCTTATAAATTTATCGGTACTATCTGGAAGCTTTAAAGTTTTAAAGTTAATGATTAAATTTTTCAAGGAAACTTAAGAAGAGCTATTGCACACAATCTTTTAAACAGCTATATCTAATATTTTAGGCTACTTTGTTACACGAACGTTTACCATCACAAGCAATTCGCGTTTCTTCAAGAGAAAGGCCTATCACTTCTGGCCAAAGTCCCAGATCACAACCTTCGGGTAGTTTATTGAAAACTTATTAACGTTAACTTATTTTAGCTATTAACATTATGAGCTTTACGAGAATTTTTTCGGGGCGAAATGAAGCAAAAAAGGAGCCTTTGGTGAGTTTAGTAAATATTTATATTCTGTAATTAGTGATTTAGGTGACCACGGATGGGTCTATTGCTCAAACAGCATGGAAGTCCATTGGCAAAGGAAGTTCGAGAAAAGAAAGAGAGCGCACTTTATTGTTGCTGCAAGAAGTGGGTAGTTTCAAAAAAGTTTTTGCATGGATTGAAGTGGGGCTAAAATTTCGTTGTGGTGCTTTTTTGCTTTTTGTGCTTTTTATGTTGTATGTTTTTGTAAAGGGTTCCATCGGCATGACGTCCAATAATCTTCAAACTTCGACACGTGGAACTCTTGGGCCAATGCTATCAGCCAGAAAAGATAAACATGCGGTTTGTTTTATATGCTTTCAACACAACACTTACCTGTGTGCAAATTGTTTTTGGTTGTCCTGTCTTGTGCCGTAATATTTCTATTTTTTTTGGGTAACAAGCAAAGTAAACTTTAGATGATGAAGAACAAAACTCTACAAGTCTCTACACTCGAAGGGATTTTTCATGATACTGTTGATATGCTTGACGATGTTGAAACCCGCGAATCTACGCTCAAGTTGGCACCGATTGCAACAAGATTTAATCATGTTCGTTTAGAGCTTACATCGAGATAACGAAAACGCAGTCCGAACAGATCGGTTTGGGGCTTAGACATACGATTTTTGAGGTGAGGTTATGTGGCTATCTGAAAAGCAAAATATTTTAGACGATTCGTCGATTGGGTTGCAGTATTTTGACAGTTGAGTGGTTGGTGGCGCTATCGGATAACGGGAAAAATCTAAATGCTTTTGAAAAGGTGAGAGCCTTAAATAATGTACCTAGTTTTTTATCAGGACATGGATTATCTCATTGCGGATTGGGTCCACCTCACGCTACTAGATGGCCAACGCCAGGAAGCAGCCCAAATTCTAAACATCACGCGCAATATGATAGTTCACAACTCGTCTTATATGTAAAAACTATCCGCAGCTTCATAACTAATTTGTATTTAGTGCTGAAGATTCTTTGAAAACCATTCTGCATACATGTGCTCGTCGCTCAATTAGCCATTTCGACTCCATCACAGCACTTTGTGTTAATGTCATGGGAGATGCAGTGAAATTCAGGTATGCTTTTATGAAGATATAGCAAAACGTTAATTTTTAGTGAAATTCCAATCTCGGAACTCTATCCTGTTATCATGGCTGTTTGTTATGTGATGGCTTCCGAGGGAAATGAAAGGGTAAGCTCAGAAAAAAACTGCAAGCACTGTGAATTTTAGTTGGATGCTGAAGCTTGGTCAGTTGCTAGAGGGCTTTTGACAAGTAATCTCGGTCACCGAACAAGGTAGCTTTTATTTTCTGAAAATTATCAAAAAGATTAAGAAAATGCCTGCACGAGGTTCTCCAACAGAATCCTCTTTTGGATCGAACGAAGGCCAGTTATGACCCGAAGACTTTATTGAGAGTGATTCGTGGCGCGGTTTTGTGTCTGGCACAAGCATATTGGGGAAATCAGGTTCTGACATTTACGATTCCTAAAGTTAAATTTCATTGTAGAAAATCGAAAACGTACGTTCTCCAGCGGCAATACTTCCATCTATGCAAGTTGCAATACGAGCCGATGCAGCCATTTGCCGAGATGTTCTTAACGTTGTTCATGTTTAATAGTTTGATCAAAATTGCATTTTAGTCGTTACGACGTCTTTTTGAAAAATACGGACGAGATCTGCAAGAAATGTCGTGGAGAGCCGTGATCCAATTGTTAGAAGAAGCGGATTGGCTATCCAAACGAGTATGTTTTTGTTTTTGTTTTTACTAAATGCAGTTGAATACAGTCAACAGTCTATGATCAACAGTGTAGACGGTTGATTCACTCGGTCGTCGACTGTATTGAGCAATACTATCGGTAAGAATCTGCCCAATCCATAGGTGTTAATGCTAATTTGAGGGATGGACAACTTTCCTGCCCCGAACGATACTTATTCGACTTGATTGAACGATTTGGGGACAAGCACTCGGATGATTCCGCCATGAAACTCATCGAGTATCGCGTTTCGGTAAGTTCATTCATTTAAGGCAGAATTATATGTGTTCATTTTAGATAATTGAGATTTATTCGGACAGATGGGCATATGAGTTGAAGGATTGTGTAGAAAAGTGTCTCACCTACGATCCCAATCTTTCACCTGAGTCAAATCATGCACGACGAGAAAAGGTTACTATCTTTTTACCCTCAGTAAAGAATTTTTTAGGCACTAACAGTCTTACACGAGTTTTTCAACGCTTATCGGCTGCTCGTGGAGAATGAACTGGTCAGCAAAGTGATTCTTCCAGTTTTTACGAACGCGCACAAAGAGCTCGACAACAAAATACAGGTTGTTGCTACGCAAAAACTAAAGTTTGCATAAGTATTTTAGTATCATATGCTCATCATCCTTTTTGATGTGGCAAAGAACATCTCATTTCGTGCCGATACATTCGAGTTAACGTTTCGTTTGATACGAAGGTTGTTCAATGAAGGGTTGCTTGGTGTTGAGCAGGTAAGGAAAATAAAACTGCGTTCCTTATTACGGTACAATTTAGGGTCGAGAACGAAGGCATTCGCGTGTCAGTGCGCCCATCGTTTCGCTTCCTAGCGAGACTGTGAAAGAGGGAACGATTGCTCCTTCTGCATCAGCTTCGGCAGTCCTTGGAGGTGAATAAATCGAAACATTAAAAACACTAAATTAGCAATTTTTAGCTGTTATCCCACCATCTAACGACAACCTTGAAATCATGGCTCAACAGCTTGGCGAGTTGATGAACGAACGATGGCAACAATTATCCGCGCCCGTTCTCAAGGAATTTATCGATACTTTTGTGGAGCATGCAAATCGGCAATATGACGTATCAAATTAACGCTTAGCATACAAAAACTGTTTTATTATAGTTGAATCTAACTGGTGAAGATGGAGGTGATGTTCGCGTTAGAGTCTTCGATGCACTGCTCTCAATTCAATCTTGCCCGGTCACAAATCGAATACGTGGGCTTTATTTCACACTTTAATGCAACTGGCCAAATTTAGGCCGCTTTGCCGTTTATGATGACGAGCCGGTGATAAATCCATATGTCTTCAGGAAAGGGTTACAGGTTACTTTACAAAAATGGTACTTGATGAAGTAATTTTTTTTCTTTAGAAGCGTCCCAAGGGTTCTGGTGAAATAGGATTTACGGAGATAGCTCAAGTCGTTACTAGAGCTTTGCGTCTGGATACTTGGTGGCCAGTTTTGCGAATCCTTCTGCAATATTTACAGAAGATTTTTGAGGTAAACCGAACTAACTGTGATATTCACTTTTTTATGCAGGCAACCGCTTATGTGAAAACGATCTCCAAGGAGACATTGAACGACTTGATCGAATCAATTACGCCGTTGTTCGAGAAAATCACAAGCGAGAAACAAGTTAGACCTTTTGCGTTTTAAGAATTTATTGAAGTTTAGGTTTCCGATAAAGACGTTTGCAAATATCTACCACCAGTTCTCGCCATCGTTCTCAACTATGGTCTTACCCCCAGTCAACAACGAGAAGTTTGCCGCGTATTGATTGAATGTGTGAAACTGTATCCGGATAGCAATGAGGCTCTAGTGGCATGTGACCTTGCCATACAGGTACTTACAACAAACTATTTTCATGATCGAAGGATTTAGATGGTTCCAAATTCGATGGCAGTCTTTTCTCATCAGCTTCTGCTTCTGTTACGAGAAAAACAACCCGCTATGCAAAGTGCCTTGTCTGTGTTAGAATTGCTGAGTGACGCCAGCGGGATCGAAGCATTTTATAATTTGTTTCAGGTAAATTTGATAATGAAGTGTTGATAAAATTGTTTAGGAGGAACAATTCCGCTCTCTTGCCGATATCCTGCTTGCGTACATGAATCTGAAGAAAGACAACATTTATGTGGTCTCGTGTGTACACCGAATCTTGATGCGATGGTTTTCTAGGGTGCCAAAAGAGTTGCGAAACGAAATTGCAAGGTATGACTCGGATGTCTTACATGTTTCTGACTTTATTATGCCTAGGTATTACGAAAGGAGATTGCAAGAGGTGCTCGCAACTGCAGCAATTCAAACGCCGCAACAATCATGCACTCCACGACAAGGAAACATTGAGGGGAAGCAAGTATGAGTTAAATATCATACTTCTAAACTGACTGTTTTTAGACACCAGCTTCAATATTTTCGACAACTTCGGATACGCCACCTGCGATCGGCTCATTAAATACTCGGACGGCTGATGACAAGCAGATGCAACAAAATGTTAGTTAATGTCAGGCTGCAATAAAATTTTTTGATTATTTAGATTCTCGATGAAGTTCAGATCGCTTTACAGCAGTTCTACCGTTTGGGTCGCATTGAGCCAACGGCAATGGGAAATCCAGCCGATATCGATGGCTTTGTAAGAGCAAATTTTGGACTCTGGATAATTTTATTTAGGAGGAACTAGAGTCCGATCATTATGCAGTTGGCCATAGTATTTTGACGCTTCGAGTGTTGGCGGAAAAAGGAAAGCTCAGAACGATGGAAGGTTTGTTGCAAAAGTTAAGCTATTGTATCTATGTTTGATAGACGACGATGTTTTCTCAGAGAAGAATGGACTTGTATCTCAGACTGGATTTCACACACTGAATGACGAAAGGAGGAGGTAAAAGGAAAGCATCGATTCACTATTTTTTTTGATTCTAGATATGCATCAGCCGTACAACCACCTACTAGGCGAGCAACGATGGGAAAAGAAGAACCACCAAAGGTAACCAACGATTGTCTGAGAAAGGAAATCCAAATTTAGGCATTGGACGATTTGTCGCTAACAAAACAGAGAACAACGAGCATAGCTTCTACTTCGTCCGGTTAGTATTTTGGTTGCTAATCATTAGACACGTTCGTTTAGTTCCGATCGTTACCGTGATACAGATGATCAATCGACATATGTATGGGCGCGTGAGCTTCTTATGGCGAAGACTCGAGGAAATTCCGGAAGACTTTTTAAACTGTGAGTACTCGAAAAGACGTTATAGTAGTTAATCGTATGCCTTAGATAAAGCATCGGCATCAACTTTTGCACCACTCGCTTTGCACGTGTCAGCTTTGCCCGGTTCAGTCAGGATTGGGACCAAAAAGGTATTTGTTTGCAACAAAGAATTATTAATTGTAAGATTTTAGAGTGCTGACATGGTAGCTACTCGGCTGAGAAATTTGGACCGTCTCGCAGGAATCGAAATGCACGCAGTTGGAGTCGTTTACATGGGATACGGGCAGGAGACTACCCCACAAATTCTTTGCAACCAGTACGGAAGTCCAAGATATGAAGCATTTGTCAAGTAAGGTTTTTATGATAATCATAGCTTAAAGATTTTACATGGCATAAAAATCGTGAGATTTTTATTTTTGCTTATTTCAGAACACTGGGCACCGCTCAATCAACCGATGACGAGCCTGCTGGACTCCAAGCTGAGAAAAATGGGGAATATACCTACGTGTTCAATGATGAAACTAGCAGCATTGTGAGTATATTTTGCGTATCCAAAACGGTCTTTTTAAGGTCTTTCTCGTTGCAACATTGATGCCAAGGCTAAACAGTGACCCACGATGTAACAATAAGAAAATGCTCATCGGTATTTTTTTATTTTGGGTGTTTAAGTGCTTTTATAGGGAACAACGTCGTGTGTATTGTGTGGAACCAGAGTGGAAAGGGCTATAAAGTTGGAAGCTTTTGCGGGGATTTTATTCATGTTATGATAGAGGTAAACAAAATAAACAAAATAAGTTTTACGGAATTTTTAGGTTGTGCCAATAGACGAGCAAAGCGTTCTCATCGAAGTACATGCAAAGCCGGAAATTTCTCAGTTGTTGGCTATGCGTCGGGCCCTTGTTCTTCAATCGGCAGCACCAGCTATTATACGGTATGCTAGCTCCAGAAATTTCTTAATACTATTGTCCTTACTATTACCTAAATGTTACTTTTTAGTAAACTGTGTGTACGAGCAAAGCTGGCGGTACAAGTCTGGCGTACTGTATCGGATCCAAAGGAAATTCCATACATATCTTCTGCCATTGAACGCCTTCGAAAAATTCAAGCCTTGAAAGAAATGTGATTTTAAATGTCTTGGTTTTGTAAGTCTTCGGGTTGATTTTATCACCTTCGGTACGCGTGTTTTTGTTGCTTAATTGACTCTTGGATCTTTCCGATAATAGCTTTATTTTTACTTCTAATAATCATCTTATTCAACGTTGTGAAATGTAGTATTTGGTAGTATTGTGCTATAGTCTTGAAATTTTACTTACTTTTTCTTGTTATACTTTGTGGATTCTTCGTGGTTAAAACAATAAAGATTTGGATATTTGGATTATAAACCTTAGAATCAAATGGTCATAAAGCATTAAGTTTTTTTGAGTTCGTAGAGAAAACAAGGACAGTTGGTTGATTTAAAATCATTGAATCTTTAATAAGAATTTTCAGAGCAATGGCTGAATCCGGGCAGGCAAACACCCAAACAACTTCAGCCCAAAAAACGGACAGAAATGTTGAAATTAAGGCCCGAGTTAGCAACAGCAAAAGATTGCTAGAATTGGCTTCGCAGTTGAGGTATGTTTTTAGCCGCGAACCGAGTTGATTTGGTACGATCGACCTGATGTGGCTGGACCGAAACTCAGCGATTTTAAAAAAAACTTGACATTCCGGAAGCAATGGCAGAGGATATGAAGGTTTTAGATTTTACATCTATTAAGCATTCAGGCAATTTGATTGTAAGCTTGTTGCTCCATGGGCTACAGATGATGCGGATCCCTTGACTTGAACGATAAAGATTATTCATATTGTTGTAGCGGAGGACAGCCAAAACTCCTTGAGCAACATGATGTGTTCTTCTGTTCGCCGAACGGTCGCTTGAAAATGAGACGTGTTGTCGAAGATGGAAGTGTGGGTAATCGTCTCATACGTTGTGTAAATATGTTTTAGCCGCGAACCGAGTTGATTTGGTACCATCGACCTGATGTGGCTGGACCGAAACTCAGCGACTTTAAAAAACTTGACATTCCGGAAGCAATGGCAGAGGATATGAAGGTTTTAGATTTTACATCTATTAAACATTTTTTCTATTTTAGGAACTACTCTCGTTGACGGCCGGTGTAAAAGGTGAAGTGGCTAAGCAAAGACATTTGTTTCTGGTCGGTCAAACGCGAGTACACGTCGACGACGTGAAAGACTTGGGGCATTTTATGGAATTAGAGGTTTTTTTCTTCAATATTGTGAAACCTGGCTAGTGAACCACTGAAAGAATCCTGAAAATTGGTTCACTAGCAAGGTCGAATTTAAAAAGGGTACTGTAGTTTGTTTTCTTGATTTCACGGCTAATATATCTCATTCAGGTATGCCTTCGTGAAGAACAAACATTGGAAGAAGGACAAAAGATCGCCGACGAATTACGCGAAGCGTTAGAGGTAATTGAGAACCGTTATCTTAATTTAAATAATTTTTGAATTATCTTCTTTTTACGTGAAATTTTAGATTCCCGAAAGTGATATGTTGACCGGTGCGTATATGGATATGTTGCAGAAAAAGTGATCATTTCATCGTTAAATCGTAGCACGTTTGATTGTTATTTTACTTTGTTATGTTTGCATTTAGATAAAATTTTATCAAAACTTATAAAGACAAAATATTTGAGAAACTAATGGGACAATTCTAGAAATTTTTTTGAGGATTAAAGTTGACTGACCGGTAAAAGTTGGGCTACAAGTGTTGCTTGGAAAATCACAAATATTGGAATTTTTTTTGAAGAGACTAGGCAAGGAATATAAGAAGTTCCCGTGTGATGATGGCACCTGTAATTTTGAGTTTACCGTTGAGCTCTTTTTTCTAATATTACTGTTTGAAATGAGATTTGAGGTAGATGCAGGGATCACGGAAAGGCCCACCACGTGCTCGCACTAAATATTGACTTTTTAACTGGTAAAAACAGTTTTTATATTGTGCTTGGACTTAATTACACACTATCGTAATACCAGTGATGGTTTTCGAAAAAGAAGATAGACTACACAACAATACGGAGTTTTCTATCACAGATAGGCTACACATAAAAGGCAAAAAAACGGGTACAGAAGCTAAGTACATTTCTATGGGTACATAAGCTTTTCACTGACTCATGGTAGATCTCGTAGACATCTCCACCGAAGAAATACGTCTCCTGAGCATTGTTGCCCTCGTGTCCTTGCATATTGCCAATAATTCCTTGAAATTTTAGTGTTTATTGCCTTTGTTTTCATTTATACCTCTGTTTAATGGTGGCTCAATATTGTCGTTTTCGTGAATGGCACCTCCGGGAAGTGGATCGTTGTTGTCCATTGTGGTGGATCGTTGGGAAAACCTAAATTGTGGAGATTGTGCAGTTTTTAAATACTTTACCCATTCTACTTCCTACATCTCATAAACACTATTGCAAAAGGTAGATTGGTAAACATTGTGGTTCTTTTGATCAAGCACACACTCGGGCTGAAAGGGCAAAAGAAACAGCTGACAGTGTCGATGTTGTGGATTTTGTGGGGAAAGTGTAGGTGGAAGAGTGAAATGGAAATGTAGCTTTGGAAATACCGTAAAACTGTCATAGAGTACTCCGATAGAAATGGAAAATAGAGTACTCAATTAGAGTCTTCTCTTCTCAATTACAGAGTATTTACAATATGAATTGCGAGGGTGGGAAAGCTTAGGCAATAGGAATAACCGGCACTGACAAGTAGTAATAGGAAAAGAAAAATTGAGCTACAATGTACTTTCCAAAAAAAGCATCTTCTGAAACTATCGTAATCAAAGTTTTCATTCGATCAACTAATTTTGGTATCATTGACTGAGCCTTGAGTCCCGTACCAAATGCAATCAAAAATTGAAGTGATTAAATGAAAATTGACCGTTTGGCTACAGCATTAGATAAGTGCGTTTTAGAAAAACGGTAACGATAAGGAAACTTGGGTTCAACTGATCAAAAATATTTTGGAAAAGAGGCAGTCCCGTAGCCTGGGGCGGAGACTAAAGATACTCAAAAAGAGGCAGCCCAGTAGCTGAGGGGAGGCTAAAGATACTCAAAAAACTACTCAAAATACAACTTTACTGCTTAAAATATTAAAATAAAAATGCAAAAAAATTGATCCAAGAGGGATCGAAGTCGGATGCCAAAAATGGGAGATAGCGGCATTCCCACTGCACCACCGAGTCACTTCTTTGGTGAGGCTGGTCGAGTGGTCGAGCGCTTGCAAAATCTGACCGTTCCCTAGTGAGACCTGGGCTCCGTATGAAATGCAACCGAGCAAAAATATCTTGGCAATTTGATTGGTGGAAGAGCCATCGTGTTTCCCCCCTTTCTGAAAGGAAAAGAAGACATTTTCTGAAAAAATAGACTTTTCCTAAAAAGAGAACAGGATCAAGAAACAACAATTGGGCAAAATAAAGGCCAATAGGAAAGCCAATAGGAAAGTCGGGCTTTCGAAAAAGTTACTTGGCGCTTTGTTGTTCTCTTTTTAGAATTACGAAACAACAATGGAGCTATACAAATCGAGCAATACAAAGCCAATCGAGTTTTTTTTTGTTTTGAGGCAAATCGACGATTTTTTCCATGATTGCGGTCACCTTTGAAGATCAACGAAAGGAAAAGGAAATCGATTTTTGATCGGAAAAGAAAATCGATTTTGATTTGATCGGTGTTTGAGTGGTGAGAAGTACATAACGATGGAGTGATGTAACCGTTACGTGACGTAAATAATGCCAGTAGAAAGTTTTAATTTTATAGCAAAAATCTCATGGTGGTGGTGGGCATGGTGGCTCAGAAATTTCATGTATTTAGGAGTCATGAAATCGGGAAAAAGTCACAAAATATCAAAATATCAAAAAATCAAAAAAAACCCCCACCTAAAATATTCACTTTTACACCACGACAACCACCCAAAAGCCACTAGAAATTCTGAGAAAAATCGCGTTAAACTGACTCTTTTTGGAAGACTACTCTAACAATATTTGATCCTTAAACTAATCATAATCTTAAACTCTTGAAAATCAAAAATATGTGAGATATAACCCTATAGCAGTCAAATAATAGGTCAAAGAAGTCTATTGCTCGCCCACCATTCATTTGTAGAAGTGATGCACAGGATACTTTATAGTTGATCTTCTCAGGAAGATCTCAGGAATGCATATTCTTGCAAGGAAGTTGCGATTTGATGAGTCAGTCAATCTGTGCAAGCATGCTCTCATTTGAGGAAAGAGAACTCGGAAGAGAAGACGATTTATCGCTTTGTTTTGTAAAGAAAAGATCGGACTTGTTCAAAGAGCAAACTTGCTTTTTTACAACAAAAATGTCTCTCCCGGGAATTGAACCCGGGTCTCGCACGTAACAGACGCGGATACTAACCACTATTTAGTCTAGACAAAGTGACCATTATGATGGACTTGGACCATGTTTAGGCTTAAGATTTGATTCTTAAATTTGCAGATTTAAATCTTTTCAGAATTTAAAATCGGTTAGAGAAGTAAATCTCTGATCAAATAATCTAATAATCTTTAACTTTTTTCTTTTTCTTTTTCTTTTAAACTTTTGAGTTTGAGAAGAGAGACGTTTTGGGATGGCTCATGTCCCTCAAAGCTCACGTCAAAGCTCATGTCAAAGCTCATGTCAAAGCTCATGTCAAAGCTTACGTCAAAGCTCGTTTCACAGTGTGTCTTTTTAGAAAACTGCCGTAATCAAATCACCAGTTTTCACTCGATTAGCCAAATTTTGGTCTTATTCGATGAGGATTTAGCCAGCCAATGATCAATGATCAAAATTGAGCTGAACGATTGGAAACTGGCATTATGAGTACGGTAATTTTCTTAAATCTTACAAATTTGGTGTCCTTTAGACAACGCTCTTCTTTTACTGTGAGTGCTTTTTTAAAATGAGCAAAGAAAATGCAATGCTTTTTTTGTGTATCGATCTTTGCTTTTGGGGTTTACTGGCAAAAGAAAAGGCACAGTTTATCTCCTCTTTATTCCAATTCTCAAATGTGACACAACATTTTGCGATATTCGACTACAAACAAAGACTAAAGTGAGTTAAAGATTTGGGATTAATCACAGATTTTTACGATCAAGAAAGGGTAAATCACAGTTTGACGAATTTGGGAAACAATCTTGAGCAAGTGATTGACAAGAATGAAAATCCGTTTTACTTTTTTATTCGAAACTTTCCCTATTCATGGCCGCATAGGTGCTTTTGGGGAAACCGTAGAGTTTGTCAATCTCGTCCTCGTGATTGTCGTCGGTTTCTAAACGTTTCATTGCCATCAATCATTTGATATTAAATATCCAATCTTAAACTTGATTTTATCTTGTTACAAATTAACGTTTGATTTTGACATCTCCATACAACTCGCACTAGTTTTTAACGAGCCAGTAGCACGGATGGCCGAGTGGTCTAAGGCGCCAGACTCAAGCGAGCAGCTTCCTGCATGCAATGCGGGTTCGGGTCTTCTGGTATCTTCGGATGCGTGGGTTCGAATCCCACTTCGTGCAGACACTTTTGCAAAATTCGAAGTTAGTCGGAAAATTTGAATGCCGTTATGGCCGACTGGCTAAGAGCCTTGTATCTTAGTCGGAAGGTCAAGGGTTCAATCACGCCGGTTAGATCATTGTTTCTAATCCATTTACTCGCTCACAATTTCCGGGTACACACATCAAACTTGGCTCAAAACATCATAGAAGAATTAGGCTGGAAACTTGTGCCTCATCCGCCCTATTCGCCTGATATCGCTTCCTCAGATTACCACTTGTTCCTGTCTATGCAAAAGGCTTTGCAACTCTCTTGCAAATCTAAAGTTTAACAATCCTGAAGAAGTCGAAATTTGGGTGCAAGACTACTTTGTATCGCCGGACCCCGAATTTTTCGAATCAGACATCCAAAGTCCACGCAAAAAATCTAAGAAAATAGTTGATAATAATGGTGAATATCTTTTGGAAATAAAGTTGTTTGCTTATTGATTTTTGGGTTGTTCGAGTGTGGGTTATAATTTGCAGTTTCTTTTGCAAGTACCTAATAGAATGACACCTCACGATATGAAAACATGAAATAGTTCCTTTCGGAGTATTGCATTATAGCATCCCTGCCCCTCTAAAAGAGCTCCACAGTTCATTATCGCCTCCCATCTTTCTTTTTGGTGGGGAGGGGGTAATCCATCTGCAGAATAGTCCCCCACTAAAAGACCGAAAAGCTTTTGGAATAAAGTTGTTTCCCTGATCTCCTTGGGCTACAATTTCAACATTTTGTACTGCAACGTGTTGAACAATTGATTCATTTGTTGAGTCAGAGTTTTGCTTTTCTTTTTTTGATAAATCATCATTTTTTCCCGTTTCTCCTCCTTGATCATCCACTTCGGAGGTTTCAGCATTTTGTACTGCAACTGTATTTGTAATTCTTGCAGAATCAGAAAGTAGATAGATTGGATAAAAACAGTGCTAAGGTTACGGTAGTTTTAGACACGATTTGAATGGGCTTTCAATGGTTATGGTTAAGGGATTCATAGGGATTAAAGCAGTTATGA